AGTGTTTATTAACTATGAAAAAGAGCCCCATCTGATTCACCAGCTGGGGGCAAATACTGCTGATGGGAAGTAATTCTCGGAAGAACAGTAATGCAGAAAGTGAGGGGAGGGCGATGTGGAGAAAACAAAACTGCGCAGTTCATTTAAATTGGGCAATCTCTGCTGGACCAAAATGCAAAATCCAAGTGCCTGTCACATTACTGCAAAGCCAGACCTCAGTCTTACAAACAGCAGAGGATTTAAGAAAACCCCTAGCTAAATACATGAATGTGAAACAGGGGGGTTTACCATTTCAGGTAGGTTTGAAAATTTCTACTCTTACAGGGGTGAAGGGTTAGGAGCAAAGCTACAAATATTTGATAGTAACAAGCCCCGCTTCTTGTTCACAACAATAAACTACTGGGCAGTCTTCACCTCAGTAGGGTGAGGAAGGAATTGCTTGTCAGGAATGGTCTTTTCAGTCTCACCTGAATACACTGATTAACACTGAAACATCTACAGATGTGAAATGTATTGATATGTGTATGTGCTGGGGGGAAAGACAGCTGTTTTATCATTTATCCTCAGAGAGTAGAGACTATTTGCTTTTAAAGATGGTAATGTTTATACTTAATTGGACGATAATCAGCAGGAAAAAAAAAGTGATAAACAGACTATTATGCTTAAAGGCTAATAGGCTGAGTATTTGGATCCAAGTTGAAGTTTTATGTTGATTTGTCTCTACTAGGTGATTAGAATGTTTGAGGCTATGCAGACAAAATACGCTTACAAAACACGTTGGTCTATCAAAACACTCAGCCAAAGAAATAAATACTTATTTCTTTAAACTGTTCGCAAGCACAATACAAGCAGGGTTCTGTGATGTAGGGAGCATCTACCCATCAGATGCTGCAGAAACCTATAGGGACAGGTTGGCAGACAGCCAGATGTTCACAGCTGCATGTAGCCCACTCACGACACAAAATATGTACATTCACTGATCTACAAAATGCTTTCATCATTGTGTTTAATAATTCCTTATTATCTCCAAAGTAAAATTAGATGACAAGTAATTTGCCAAGGCGAAACACAGGAGAATGGCGCAGGACTGTGGCCCTCTGTCTACTCTGCACTTAGCCTCCTTATGACTGTCTGTCCTCAGAGAAGTTAGAGCTGTACCAAATGTAGACAGGAGGACAAACATAGGGACCCAAGAAAATGACAACCTTTTAAACTTTTTATATTACTGGAAATTATTAATGTTTTTAAATTTGGTTCTCAAAACACAAAAAGAATTGGTTCTTATTTTTTCTTTACTGAAAAATCTCTTTATTCAGTACAAAGGCTCGTCTTTCTCTCCCATTCTCACCTTGTGCCTGCTCAACTTGAAGGCAGGAAGGCCTCCTATGTGGCAAAATTTGAGGACCACTGTTGCCATAACTGCTTCAAAATAGCTCTCCTTCCCTGCAGCCTGCTGTGGCTCTACTGTTGTGTCATCCTTGGCCTGAAAATTTTACTGTTATAGTTATCCCTTTGGTATAGAGGATAGAGACTTCTTTGCTCCAGAAAGCAACTATTTAAAGATACATATATGTCTGGGAGCCCAGAGAGCCCTCCCCAAGCTGAAAGGATAAAATATAGAATCATAAATTTAATAAGTGAAGAGTGAGAGGATTGATAGCATTTGAGTTGGGGGTGGAGATGGAGAAGTAGGAGTGGCTGGCCAATGGGAGGGGAAGTCCTGGGTGAGGTATTTACATATTTATTTATTCATGCAATGGTATTTGTTGAGCATCTGCATGTGCCAGGTACTGTGCTAGTTGGGAACAGTTCACAGTGACCTCTTTGCCCTCCTGGGATTTATGGCCATGCTGGGACTGGGGTTAGCATAGGTTAAGAAAAGTCTCCTTGAAGAAGACCAAAGAAAACCAAATATTCAGTCAAGTGAAGGGGGAAAAAGTGGGGAAGAGTCATTGAGGCAGAGAGAACTGCATTTTCTGAAGTCCCGAAGCACAAACAAGTACCCTGTGATCTTGGAATAGGGAGAAGGCCTGTGTGACTGCAGCCCAGTCAGCAAAGGTGGGTTCAAGAGCAGGCTGGAGCCAGATTATGCAGGGCCTTGTAGCCATGCCAAGGATTTTTAACGTCATCATGAAAACTGAGAGAAGTCATTGCATAGTAGAGGTGTGACAACACTGGTATATTTTAGGAAGATACCTCTAGTTTCTGTGTGGGCAATGAATTGAGGATGGTAGGGAAAGCCTGAATGAGAGAGCACTTTGAAGTTATTGCTGGAGTCAAGGTGAGAGCTGATGATGGGTTGGTTAAACTTGAGCAGAGAGGTGGAGATGGTAGAAGGTGGGGAGATTCAAGATATGGTTTGGGGGTGGAAACAACATGGACTGGATATGAATGATAAAGGAGAGCGTGATGTCAAGGATATCTTTTTTTTTTAATTTTTTTTTTAAGATTTTATTTTTCCTTTTTCTCCCCAAAGCCCCCCCAGTGCATAGCTTTGTATTTTTACTTGTGGGTCCTTCTAGTTGTGGCATGTGGGATGCCGCCTCAGCGTGGCCTAACGAGCGGTGCCATGTCGGCGCCCAGGATTGGAACCAGTGAAACCCTGGGCCTCTGAAGTGCAGCGTGCAAAGCGAACTTAACCACTCAGCCACAGGGCCGGCCCCCATCAAGGATATCTTTTAAGTTTCTGGTGTAAGCAACTGGGTGGAGTGGTGCCAGTCCCTAAAGTGGGGAACACGGGAGGAGAGGCAGATTTGGGGACCTATTAAGTGTGAGATGGTGTGAGCAGAGCTGGTGCAAGTTCTACTGAAACCGTGGAACACATTATGTTAGGGGTCTCTCTCCTCCCTCCCTTTCCTCTTCTCTCCCTCCAAATCTTGGTCTCCGTTTCTCTCTAGTAACATTCCCACATTCTTTGAGAATTTTCCATGTGGTGGGTGGAGGAAGATGCTAACATTTTTTGAGGTCACATCCTTATAGCTCTTGCTTCAATAAGAAAGAGAGCTTCCCTCATTTCCAATTCAGAAAGTTTCAGGGAAGGACGCCTATTGGCACAGTTGAAGTCACATCCTATTTCTTAGCCAACAGTCAAGAGAATGCAGCACTTGGATTGATCCAGCTTGGGTCCCATGTCTCCCCTGTTCTTTTATTTTAGTGGAGGAGAAAAGGTAGAATACTGTAATTGGTGCCTGATCAGCACCTCTGAGGGGTAGAGGGTAGGGAGGAGGAGTGCCCCAAGTGGGAGAGATGGCGCCCAGCTGTCAGAGCTAACTGATGTTCCCTACCTCCTAAAGCTTTCAGTTTCATGCTAAGACGCTTCTGATGGGTGGAGCCTGAGTTAAGCCTGAAGTAATACTGCTGTCTAGAAATGCAGAATTTTCCAACTCTGAGCTGATAGGATAGTTGAGGGACTGAGTGTGCTGATGAACTTATTGTAATTTTGAGCTATAAAAACAATATATTTTTGAAAAAAGGAAAAGCATCCATTATTTCACACTGACACGTTTTCATGTAATGCATTCCTTTCCTACCTTCATCCTTAAGCATATATCTTTTTTTTAATATAATTTATACATTGTCTTGAATACCAAGCAACTTGTTCAATTTTTAATTCATTTGTTTAAACATAAATATTTACATAAAAATAATTCGAACGTGTAAGTTTTTTGCATTAGTGTGCTCTGGGAAACTTGCAGGACCAGCTGGTACATTGTATTGGCAAATATTGGTTGAGCTCTTGCTGTGGGCACGGTAGTCTGGACACTAATGGGGATCCAGACATGATTAAGACCTATTTCTGGCCTTTAAGAGTTCATAATCTCCTGAATTTTGATGAAATTAAAATATTCCTCAATTGTAACATATACAGTTATTAAAGAATAATATGGACATTACAGAATATAAAAACAGTAAAGTAAAAAACAAATAGCTCCTATCCTTCTTGCATAGGGAAGGGCAAGAAATGTAGGGCGAGTGAAAGAGGATGGGACAGAAGAGGGGTGAAAAGACATTGCAGAAAATAGGGCAGGAGGGCTTCTAGGCTGTGGTTAGAGTCACACTATGTAACGGTTAAAATGTTGAAGATCAGACCACACTTAAAGATCCGCGTCTCTTTAAAAGGGAAGGTGAGTGTTCAAAGCAATTCGCAATTTGTCTGAAATAGGCTGTTTCTCCCTGTACTCTCTCCAGACCGAGCCTGATAGCAGATAGTCACATTTTCTATAGAAACATTTTAATCTTGGACCCTTTCTCCCCAGAAAAATCTCACTACCAATACGCACGATATTCTAAGTTTAACGGACCCACGGAGGCCCATCCCTGGGCCCCCTGGATCCCAGGTTAGACAGGCCCTCAATTCAAGAGCTGGCCTAACTGCTTCAAAGGTAGCAATGTTCCCAGCTCCACCATGCAGGAAGACCACGCCTCCAAATGTTTTGCAACCTTGTCTATTTCAGATTTTTTCAGAAGTCCTGGGTAAACTGGCCTCACCAAGGATTCCGCCCCGTCTGGCCGCTTCCGTCTTTAAACACAGACCCATGTGTGGGAGAGGCCATTATTTTTACGGGATCACTGTGCTCGTGGAGCAGCTAGGGACAGGCAGAGTCGCTTTACCGCAGCGCCAGCTCCATCCTTAACCCGGGCTCCGCCCTCAGGCCGCCTCCTCCTCCGAGCCCCCGCCCCTGGCCCCGCTCCACCCCTTCGCTCTGAGATCGGCTCGGCCACTGCCTGCAACCCTGTTCCACCCGCCCACCCTGTGGCCCCGCCCCCGACCCATGGCCCCGCCCCCTCCCGAAGTGCCCAATGAGCGACCCCGCACCACCGCAGCACCCTCCAGGCAGCTGGCTGCCCCGCCCCGTGGGCCGATTTAACCAATGAGAGTCCCCGCGCGCCCCGGGCCCCGCCCCGCCCTCGATCCCCGCCCCGGCGCCCTGCCCTCCACAGCCCCCCCTACTCCGGGGCGTTGCCGTGGCCGCGCCTCCGCCGCCTGTGCGGAGCCAGATGCCGCCCCCTCCGCCGGTCCCTCCTTCGGCGGCCTGGCGCCTCCCTCCCTCCCCGCCGCGGTGACTCACGGAGCGGGAGGCGGAGGCTGAGGCGGCCGCTCCCGCTGCTGCTGCTGCTGCTGCTGCTGCTGCCGCCGCGGCTGCTCGGGCTGAGCGCGCCCCGGAACAGGCCGCCGCGCGCCGCGCACGGACCCGCAGCCCCGCCGGCCCGGCCGGGTCGGGCGGCCCAGGTAAGCGCCGAGGCCGGCCTGCGCCCGCAGAGCCCGGGCCCGCGCCGCACCAGGGCTCGGGGGAGCCGCCGGCCCTTTGTCTCCCGGGGAGGGGCCGCAGAGGGCGCCCCCGACCATGCTTGGACCACCGGCCGGTTCCCCGGCGGGGCGCCATGGTCTGAGCCGGGCCTCCTCGCCCCGCCTGGCCGCTGCTGCCTCCCGCTACTCGCCGTCCCTGGCCCCGTCGCAGACCACCCTCCAGCCATCCTCACCTTCGCCCAGGAGTCGCGTCCACAGGTGTCCGGGCCACCCACTCTGTAGCTCACCCCACCACGTCGACGTGGTTGTCACCGTCTGTCAGCACTCCAGGTCCTGTGCCCTGTTGTTTTTTCCTTCAGCTGCGCCGACTCTGAGCATCCTGACCCTCTGTATAGTGCCCCTCCATATTTCCCCAAACTAAATGCTGCTATGGTCTGGCCACTGAGCCGCCCTCCCTCCCTCTAGTTTGATTGGACTGTCTTCTCCCCATTCCACCTGTCCCTGTGAGTGTCCTGGAAGGTACACATTGTAGGCACGTGTCTCACCTGTATGGCCGGCGTGTATACGTGAGCCTGCAAAATTAACTGCTCAGAGCCCAAAACCACACTTCTCACCTCCTTTTCATCACCTACACCCCAGCCACTTTACTTTTTCTTGAACCTGGTAGCTGAGACACATAGGTCTGGACACTCAGCCTCTGTTAGGCCCCACATGCCTCCCTCCCACTTCTTATATGCAGAACTTGTCTGAGCAGTACCTGCTGTCAGGCTAGCCCCTGGGAAGGCCGAGGAGGCCTGTGTTGGCAGCAAATCAAGAGTTTTATGAATAATGAGATGTGTGGCTTGCAGCACCTCCTATCTGAGGATCTAAGTATGCTATAACTATTAATTATTTTGTCTTCTGTCACTCACAGAACTTAGGGAAGTGTGTCTGGCCGTCCACTGGGTAAATTGAGGCACAAGGTGTGTCGGTAAGGGACCTGGAGGCAAGTCAAAGTTTGTCCTGAGGTTCTGTCCTCAAGTGCCTTTGCTTTTAGCTCCCTGCTGCAACCACTGGGCTCTAGTTCCTGGCTTTAGCCCCTAAGTGATACTGATCTCACTTAAAGTGCCCAGAGATACCAAGTTTCCTCTGATTTAAAGCAGGACTTTGAATCATAAATAAAGGTGGCGGCTGTTAAATGTCAGTGTGTCATTCATGGTTTCCTGGTGGGGTTAGTGGCCCTTGTAAATACAAGTTGCCTGTATGGGACGGAGATTTATCTGTTCAATGAAGGGAGCTTACTATGTGGCAGGCACCATTCCATGCATCGGGGTTCAGTGGTGAAGACAGACATAGTCCCTGTCCTCCTGGAGCTGACGTGCTAAAGGGGAGGGAGTAAACAAATAAGCAAACAAAATAAGTTCAGTAGTGGTAAGTGTTATAAAGGTGGGAAGAACCAGTTTTGATTTATTCCAAGTGCAGTTAGAAGCCATTGGAGGATTTTAAGCCAAGAGGTGATAAGATCTGATTTATGTTTTAAAAGACCATTCTGGCTGCTGTATAGAGACTGGATTATAAGGAGCAAAGGTAGAAGCAGGGATACCAGTTGGTAGACAGACTGTTGCAGCTGCCAGGCAAGAGATGATGGTGGCTTGGGGTACCAAAGTGGTAGCAGTTCAAGTGAAGAGGTGGAATCACTCTGCTCCCCCTGAGGGAGGCTGAGAGCTGTAAAGCAAAACTTCGGGGAACACCGGCTGAGATTTGTATCTCTAGCACAGAATTTCTAGACCTGCCTATGCTCAGGCTTAGCTCGCAAACCTTGTTCAGTAAGCCGGGTGCTGTGCTAGTCTCTAGGATACAGACATGAAGAAGTGAATAGGGAGCACTCTCCATGTTATGACAACGTGCTCACAGAAGGGTCACCCCCCTCCTTCATGGAAGAGGGTTCGTGGGTTTAAAAACCAGTTAGAAGTGGAGGAGGCAGAATACCCTGGGCTTCATTCCCACCTTGGCTGCGTGATTGCCCTGCCTCTGCTGGAAGATGTTGCCCAAAGAAATTGGGACTGTTCTCATGGTAGGTGGGAGCACAACTCAGTGGCCGTGAACTTGAACCATTAACCGGAATAAAACGTGATTGCCGTGCTGCTGCAAATCTGTGCTGTCAGAACATATCAGAGCTAGAGGATCTTGGGGGCTATGTGGGCCAGCCCCCCTTTTATGGTTGGGCACCTGTGGCCCCTAAAGGCTGAGTAACTCTTTTGAAATCCCATAGCAGTTTGTACATTTTCTTATGGCACCTGCCACAATCTACCTTTATTTCAGCTCCATGTGTATGTGCATGACTCTAAGCTTTCTGAGGCCAGAGTGTCCGTTGGATCGATTCATCTTTGCATCCCTCACAGCATCTAGATCAGTGTCCTGCGCAAAAAGTAAACTCATCAAATATTGGTTGACTTGCCTGGGTATCTCACAGCACCTAAAACTAGAACTCAGGAGTCCTGTCCCTGTCTTTTCATCAGCCCACGCTTCCTTGCAGATTCCTCATCCAGGGTGCAGCACAGTGGTAAACCTGGCAGTCTGTCTCCCTGAGCTTACAGAGCAGGGCAGCCCTTCCTTGATGGGTCTGCGCTCTCTCCAGCCCTGCCTCCAGGGAACAGCTGCTGAGGGTGCTGACCGAGGAGTTATTCAACACTCAGCAAATATGAAGCGTAGCTCTTAATCAGAGCATGGACTTTGTACCGAGACTATTTGGGTTTGGATCTGAGTTCTGCCATTAGGAGCTGCGTGACCTTCAGCAAGTAACTTAACCTCTCCATGCCTCAGTTCTTGGGAGGATTAAATTAAGTAATACCTATCAGATGCTTAGAAGAGCACTGAGCACTTAGTACGTGCTTGGTTGAAGTAGTAGCTGTTATTTCATTGTTATTTATTTATCTGCTTCTTATTGCTCACCAGTGTTTAAGCTCTTTGAGGGCAGAGATTTTGTCTCTTTTTTTTTTGGTCTCATGTTATAGTCCAGTGCCTAAACTTTGTAGGCACACAATAAATATTTTGTTAAACTGAATGACTTATTAAGCACCTACTCCGTGCCAGGCACTGTTGTAGGTGCTGGGAATATAGCCAAGAACAAAATCACCAAGATGCATGGTCTAATCAAGTTTATATTTTAGTGGGAGAGACAGACAGTAAACAAGTGAAGGAAATAACATAGGATGGTGAAGGAATACAGAGAATAAAACAGGGCAATGAGGTGGAGACTGACTGGGATGAGGGTTAGGGTGATAGCTTTGGCTAGCTCTGAGGAGGTAACTTCTGAAGGGAGACCTGGATGATGGGCGGGGAGGACAGCAGGAGCAAGAGCAATAAGCTCAGTGGGGCCGGGGTGAGGTGAGCAAACAGGTGGCAGGGGCTGGATCTGTGGCCACAGTGAGGAGTTTGGATTTTACTCTTCAACTCTAAACAGTGGGAAGTCACTGCACGGAGCTTTTCCTGGGGGTCCCTCCGAGGAGAAAGAGCAGGATGCTGGGAAGAGCGGTAAGTGGGCTCTCCTTGTCCTGGGAAGGCTTTTGGAGGCCAGCAGTGTTGACCTCTTCCCATTAGGTTCCTCATTTCTCTGTCCTGGGTACCCAGGAGACGTGGGAGCCATCAGCTAAATTAACGAAGGTCCAGGCATGTGTGTCTGTGTGTCCTGTAGATTCCATTGAGCCTTCTTTTCCCCCTGAGTATGTCGGTAATCAGTAAATGTTTCTTGAATGAATAAGCGTTGCCAGCTCTTAGCATCTTGTCCTGTACAGTGGCATGTCCTATGTTCTCTGCTCCTCTCTGTGTGTATTAAATCTTGGCAGTGACTCTGAAGTAACCTTGGAGTTCTGCTGTTCTTCATATGTGCGTCAAGGACGCCCACACACATATATGTCACAGTGTCCTTGTTGGGAGTATGCCAGGATTGACTGGGCAGCTTCTCTCCCACTCCACCCTTACTTGTCTTCCACTCTCCTGCTGAGTTATTACCAAGCTCTCTATAGAGAGTCAGGCCACACCGTCACCTCTGAACACCTCCTGTGTGATCAGGAACACGGTGGCACCTAGAAAGCATTGGCTCTCTTTGGTCTGAGCTGAGCAGAGTTGGGAGGCTCAGCAGAGCACTCAGAGAAAGGGCATTTCAAACCCAGGGGTTCAGCTCTCCAGGAATCCAGAGCTGGCCTCTTCAGACTGGGTGCAGTTGGCTGGCTTCTCAAATCCTCACTTAGGCATCCCCTTGGCACTTAGTGGCCATGATGCCACTTGCTCAGCTAACTCGACAGGGCAAGACAAGTTAGTGGAAATCAAATACAACTTTTGTGTTGCAAGTCACTTTCAAGGTCCTGGGGCATTTTGCTGGCGGAATCCAAGGTCCCTGTTAGTCATATGTCATCTGTAGCCTTGTAAAAACTAAACCCGAAGTGGATGCAACCCTTTTCTCATGTAATTGTGTTTTTTTTTTAATCATGAGAGTGATATGCGCTCATTTAGAAAACGAGAAAATGAATGATAATGGCATTTTACATATATCGTCTCATTTAATCCTCACCGTTGTTTCTGAGATATGTACCATTATTGCCATTTTACATGTTAAGAAGTTGAGGCCTGGAAAAGTTAAGTAACTTGTTTGAAATCAGGCATATCCAAAACAGTGTCAGGATTGAAACCCAGGCAGTATGGCTCCCAAGCACAGCTCTGAGCACCATATTAAGCACTGCTTCTCAGCAGAAACAATAGAGAAGAAAGGAATCTCCCTTAAGCCCAGTGTGGGCGATATTGTTAGGGTGGCCAAAGTCGGTTCACTGGCTGCTGCAGAGTTTGAATCCTACGCCCTTTCCCTGTCTCATCCCACCTTGGGCAGGCTAATTACCCTCCCTTTGCCTTACTTTCCCCAACTATAAATGGGGATAATGATACTTGTGCCATCATAGCTCCCGGGGGCATTATGATGTTAGAGCCAAAGTGCTTTTGAACTTCTTTTA